TGCATTATTGCATACGTCACACTTAGTACGCCTTTGTATTTGTATGCTCGAGTATATGCTCTATTTTTTTCCTTCGTGTCCCCAAACATGTATGTGTCTGTCCCCCAACTTGTTGGCACACACACACCTTATAGTATAAGAGCTGTCGGAGGGAAGGGGGGGGGGCTTGGCTCGTGTGTTCCGGAAGTGTTCCAGTTGAACACTGTTGCCGCAGCGTGTACGTGCGGCGCGAGGCTGCCGAGGGCCCGCCCTGCCTGCCTGGTCGGCATTGTTTCACTTCCGACTGCCGCTTCAACTTTCTCTGCCCCCACCCCACCACCACTCCCTCGCCCTGTTTTCCTCATCCCCCGCGACTCAATGTCTCACTACGTCAGAACGCCCCCACCCCCTCACTCGCCACTCCTCCCGATAAGAGGAGGGGGAGCGGCGGCAGCAGAACGGAGAATTCACTGTTAAAAAGAGAACGTATGGGACGTTCACGGCAACGTGAGAAATATTCTCGAAAGTTTACAACTTTGCTGTAATTTCTTTTATTTACAAAACATGTTGTAAACGGTCGCACATTTGCCCTTTCTTGCTTGGATGAATTCCAAGTCGACACGAAGTGCTTGTAAAATCACAATTCCAAATTGTAATTTTACAACACATACCATGCAAAGTTTTCCCGTAAACATACGACCTATTTTTCACAGTGGGAGACGTACAAGTTAGTTGTGAAAGTGATTGGCCAAATCTCCTATGGCTTCGCGGGTCCAAATAAAATTGCAATATAATTTCTAAAGGCGTATAACAACTGATTTACATACTAGGAATTCGGAACGGAAATTCCAACAGTGGCTAAGAGTAAATCTCTGGAGGATTCCGAAAAGGATTTTGTGTTAACAGTGCGGAGAGCCCAGCCCAACCCGCCCCGAGTATTATTTTGGTACGCGTCAGTGTCACTGCCAAGGGCGCCGGGGGAGAGCTAGGTGGTGGGGGTGGGGGCGCGAGGACCAGGAAGAGGGGTGTCGAGGACGGTGGCGGGCGGAGTATGGAAAATGGTGAGTAAAGCGGAAACGAAAACGAGGACAGTGATAGGCCGCCGTCCCTGAGAGGCTTGGCGCGGGCCACCGCAGAGTGGCACCACCGGAGAGGGGCGTGGCGGGGCGCTCTCGAGCGTTCCTGACGGATGTTCGCTGTCAGAGAGGCTGTCCCCCGTCCGTCCCATCAGCACGAGTCGGAAACGTATTCTCCACCCCTTCCCCCTTTTACTCCCACCAACCCCCGCGTATCGAACACTCATACACAGCGATATGCCCCCGCCATGGAGCTTGGAGAGACAGACGGTGGCACTTTGCCTTTCGGTCGACCTTGGGGGAAAGGAATTGGAATTCGGGGACAATTCTGGTGGGCCGCTCGTCTCGTATGACTGAAAAGATGAATCGGGGGCTGATATCAATATCAATAAGTGTGACATCTTTCGCAGACGCGTACCTCGCCATCTCCTTTGCGGAAACCACGTAGTTTCGGGCCGTCTGGATGATCGTCTTCTTGCTTCACGGTCCATCGCACCTGGTGGTGGAGGGGG